GCTAGTTATCTTACTGGGCTCTGCTGTTGTCATCCATGATCCATCTCTTGTCACCACATAATGCCCCTGATTAACAGACTTATCAGAAACAGACTGTCAACACTGTAAAATGTTTTTTCTTTTCATTTGTTGATTGCCACAATGTAATCATTTTTCAGAGACATTTCATTGCAATAAATGTTTCTTATACGTTTCTTCTCAAGTTTAAGTGATACTGGGACTAGAAGATTTCTTTATGTTTCTAACAGTCTGCTTTCCTTTTGTTCCTGTTTGTTCCTCTCTTAGCGGTGTAAAGACAAGCTAAATTCTCTGGCCATCTCTGTGATGAACATGTGGCCAGGTGTGAAGTTGAGAGTGACGGAGGGCTGGGATGAGGATGGTCATCATTCAGAGGACTCATTGCATTATGAGGGGCGTGCTGTCGACATCACCACATCAGACAGGTAGGCTAGAATAAGCTATGTGCTGTGAATAGGCCGGGCGTTGGCCAGAGAACATTTAAACTGCTTGTAGTGCGTGAACTGTGACACTCAACAAGTTAAACTGTCAGTTAACTTATCTGCAATGTGATGAAATTGGTAAACAAATACACCACATTTTTTTAGCTGATAGCAAGTTTACATATTTTAGTCTGAATGTGGGAAAAATTCCTTCCTTACAACTTGTCTACATAAATGTCAAAGTAGAAATGGTCTTTTTTGTGAATTTTAATTCAGATGGACTCATGTTGGAAGTTAACTATAAATTTTTGTCCTCCTGACAGGGACAGGAATAAGTATGCTATGTTGGCTCGCTTGGCTGTAGAAGCTGGATTTGACTGGGTCTATTACGAGTCCAAAGCCCACATTCACTGTAGCGTCAAGTCAGGTAAGAGATGGAAATTAGAACAGTGCACAGTATGTATGCATTATCAAAGTACCTCTTTGTGTGTTTTTGCTTTTGTGTTCAGCTGTTATTACTGCTAATGAGGCTGATGCTAGACCATTTGACAGTGAGCCACTAATGGTTTAGTTTCCCATTCATTGCCTTTATTAACACTCTGGGTGTGTGCTTAAGTGTATGGTCTACTGGGAGCCAATCAAAGCAGGTTGTGCACCTGTGCTCTTTGCCCAGTTTAGCCTCACATGTTGGTCTTAATAGATGTTGTATAGTCATTATGTAAATCGTTAGTTATCAAGGTTTTAGGATATTTAGCTGTACAACATGTGGATGAAATGAATGAAAACAAATGTAAGTAGGCTTTTTTGCATTCAGTGCAAGACATGGCAGCTAATACTCTATATGTAGTACCACATTTGTGGTCAAAAACCATGAAAGATATATGGTGGTTAAATTAAAATACTTAAATTGCTTGACATAATAGTGTTTTCTGTGTTCTTGACTGTATATTCAATCTGCATTTTTGTAGTAGATCCATAATATTTCAGTACACATACTTTATCACATACTTTCTTCATGCAAACAATAGCTGAAAGCATTCCACCTCCAGCTATTCTAACTTTTAAGACACTTAAGAAATCCATTTACCCATGTCTGGTACCACCAGTTATTTGATGCCAAACTGCATTCTAGCAGTCTGATGAGGTTAGTAGCCTGTGAGATGATTAACTCTCTCTTTGTTCGCTATTGCTTTTCCTTCAGTAGGTTTCTCTGAGATCGCTTATCTGAGTCTTATCACCCCCTGGTCTCTGCAGCCTTCAGGCTTACCGACACACACCTTGGACAAATATTTGGCTGCCTTAAGACAGCTCTCTCACACAAACACCCACGCACATTTATACTGATTCATTTCTGTTTCACAATTTTTTGCATTAATTATTCTATTCTATTCTATTCTATTCTATTCTATTCTATTCTATTCTATTCTATTCTATTCTATTGTTCTCCCAGTTCATTTAAGACGGTAGTACCATATAGTGCTTAGTAATAGCAGGATTCTTTGCTAAGATTCGAGCCCATTGTGATGTCTCAGTGTGTATAGAACCGCTGAGACTGGGGCATGTGACCCAGTTTAAAAACAATATCTAGAACCAGAGTCTGTGTACTTTCCTGGCTCTCTGACCCCAGGCCGTGCTCTGACTGTGGTGATACAATCAGCTGGTTATCCATTAGCTCTTGCCGACTACCCCTTTTTGCCACCTCATCTCGCTGCGTCTTAAAGGGCCAAATAGCTCAGATATACTCTGCAACACTGTCACTTCGGCAATAGCAAAATAAAATAGTAAAACAGAGGATGTTTCTCTGTTTTTACTCTGCTAACTAACATGAAAAATCTGCTTCAGAAAGATAGAAATACAGTACATGTACATACCATGGCACTGAACACTGTTTCCGTAACAGAGGGCAATACATGAAAAATATGAAGTTACAGCATTGGCTGATATTTTGCTTTGTTGTCTTTTTTTGTAAGATTTCCATTACCCCAAGAAATTGATTTGCCTTAAAAAATGTTTTGGGAACTATTTCATGTATTTCAAATCATATAAATTTATTGTAAGCTTTATAAAATGGTTACAATGACACATAACCATATTTAAAGATTGCCTCACACAATGAAAGGACAAGTAATAGTTTAAAAATCCAGCGATCAGCTCTTAATTGGTTTGTTTAAAAGCAGATAAAAACATTATTTTTCTGAAGTGGGTTTCTGTGTGTGCATAGTTTCTAAGCACAAGAAGAGGGCAAGAATCAGATAGACAAGAAAGCAGTTTGAACCTTGACTTTGAGTCATAATGTATACATGTGTTAACAATCCACCACTAATCCACTGAGATAAAGTTCTTTGAGAGTCAAAGTCTTACCTGCTTTATACTCAGTGACCCAGAAAAATGTGAAATCCCTGTAGGAGACTAAATGCTGCGGTGCCTGTCCTCCTCTCCTGAGAGGACCTCCAACATTTCTCTCTCTTTATGCTTTTCATTCTTGCATTAGCACTAAATAATTACAAATAACATCATCGTGTCTTTTGTTCTTCAATTCAACAGAACACTCTGTGGCAGCCAAAACCGGTGGTTGTTTCCCTGGTGACGCTCAGGTTGTCGTTGAAGGTGGTGCTGCTAAACAGATGCGTGACCTCCTCCCTGGTGATCGGGTCTTGGCTTCCTCAACAGCAGACGGCCATGGTCCTTTTCTCTACAGCCCAGTCCTATCCTTTCTGGACCGCCAGCCCAATGCCTCAAAGATCTTTTATGTTATTGGGACTAATGCAGGATTCAATATTACTCTCACAGCTGCTCACCTGATCTTTGTCACAGACTGCACTGCTGGGCTGAATCAGCAAGAGGAAGAGCCGTTATCGGGTTCCACGTGGGAAGGCAGGCCTAGATGGGGAGTAGGTCAGAGGACGGTTTTTGCCAGCGAGGTCCAGCCAGGACAGTGTGTGTTTACATCGGCAGGGGAAGTGAAGTCGCAGCCAAAACTTTCAGTTGTGACCTTTGTGAGCGAGCAGAGGAGCATTGGCTTGTATGCCCCACTCACCCAGCATGGGTCTATAGTGGTAAATGGTGTATTGGCATCTTGTTATGCTGCTGTGGACAGTCACCATTTGTCCCACTGGGCCCTGGCCCCACTACGACTCTTCTACAGCCTGATTGGGCCATCAGAAGCACAGAATGATGGGCTGCACTGGTACCCTTGGCTTCTACATTGGCTAGGGAAAATGCTGCTGGATACTACACACTTCCACCCCTGGTCTGTTGAACAATGACATAGATAAGAGGCGCAGAGACATGTTTCACCACGATGTCTTCTTTCAGTTAACACTAGTATGGAGCACTAGAACGCAAAGCACAACAACCTTTCTTTTCACAAGAAATCAACTGAGGGACCACCAAAGGCAATTCATTTTATAATGTAAATATGTTTTGTAGTAACTCCACTTGCCTGTATTTGCTGTACTTCAACAAGTTCTTTTGTTGTTCATGCAAACGAGATATAGAGAGAAAATGAGACAGGACACATTATTCTAGTAACAGAAATATGGAAAAATAGTATTTCTAGTTTTATTCATTTCCAAAAAAATGTAATAGACATGAAAAAAATCTGATTTCTGTTTACCACAGATCAAAAACAAAGATTATACTAAAAAAAATTGCTGAGAAGTGAGACTGCCGGGTTTTTATCCTTCCTTTGTACTGTATTTACTCCAATCTGACAATATTTGAGCTTATTGATACAATTTTGTGAAACCTCTTTAGTGTCTCAGGCTTAAGATGAACACACAAAGAAAAAAAGAGGAGAAATTAGTGACTGAACAAGGTGAGATGTGAAACTTTAAATGTACATAGGTATTTATACAGTTAAGTCATGGACTTTACTTAGTTTACTGTTAGATTCATCACTGCAGTAAATTCACTGATTCTTTACTCTTCCTTTTAGAGTCTATATTATATATTAGCAAATAATTTACAGAAAAATATTTAACTAGACAGTTTATTAAGTTCATTACTTTGTACATGATGAGATTAAATGTACTGGTGTTGCATTGTTTTTTGACATCTGAAAAAGGGCTTTGTTGTAACAACTGGATGGCGGAGAAAGAGTATGAATACACAGTATTTGTGTTACACTTTGTACACATACTGTATAATTCTACTTCACAACATTTGTCACTTACTGATGCAGGATTGATTAAAGGTGCTATAGTGGCCGCCCTGTCTCTGCCATCCGTTTCTACACGACTTGATTGTGTTAAACAAATTTATGTGGCTCATTTAAACGTCTCCTTGTTGATTATCAGGTGTTTTTAATTTAAAACTTTTTTATTTGTTTTTCATTGTTTCAGGTTTCCAGTTTTCAGATCAGTACACTCAGGCTGTATTCAACTACTGTATTAAGTAGCTAGCTAGGCATCATATTAAAAACAGTACTTATTTTTATTCTTAAGCGTTTAATAGGTGTTTATTTGAAACTTTGCATGGTCTTTTTTGACTTCCGTCTTTATACACTTAGCAGTATGCCAAGCAGGTCTAATCTTTTTTGTTAAATGGCTTATTGGAGATGAATAGATATGTAATATATAGTTCATATTTCCCGCATGCCCCTCCCAGTTGAGTTGCTATGTGAAGACTCAAACATTGCAGTCGATCTGGAAAATTGAAGGCATTCTTTTGTATGACTGCTCAAAGATTTGTCACATATGTATATTAAGCTATTGTTGGAGAGACTATTTAAAGATCTATTTTTTAAAAAATGTAAATGTAATATTTTTTCTGGCAACTCTGTTCATAAAATTTTGAATTTGAAATATAAAGGTTTTCTCTTGTTTGTAAACTAAAATCTGTTGTGCTTTTATCATAGCAAAAAAAAAAAATCTAAACGAGATCGTGACAATACAATACAAAGTATCATATAGATATAGATTATCTAATAAAGTAATAAAGTGGCTATTCTGCTTGTTGTAATAGAAATGCTTTCCGTCTTTTCAAGATCTATGCTAACAAAATGGACTAGCAAAAGGATTTCATAGATAAAACATAAATAACCTATTGGTCACTTTATGAAGTGATACATCTATAACTTAATATAACAGCAGCTGTGGTTAGGGTGGGCTGCTGTTTGGTTTCAGTACCAAGGACAGCAGCTCTCAGCAAAGCTCCTCTTTCCTCCCCCTTGATGCCTGAAAGCTTTTTCTTTTTTCCAGGATAGGAAATTAGTCAGTGAGCACAGTACCCCCTGCTGGATGCTTCAGTATTTGCAGAGAAGCAAGAAGAAGAAAGAAAGTCCTGGCTTTAAATCCATTCTGATTCCTTTTTAGGTGTTTAGCTTTCTTCCCACAGTCGCAAAACGGAGGTAGGTAAGGATAACTGGTGATTCTGAACTGGCTGTAGGTGTGAATGTAAGAATGAAGGTTTGTCTGTTTCTTTCTCAGCCTTGCACCAGACTGGGAACCTGTCCAGGATGTAGCCTGCTTCTTTCGCTAATGGAATGAAGTAGATGGATGGATGTCATGAAGAACAACACGCTGAACACAATTTGTTTTTCTTAGCTGAAGAAAAAAACATGAATTAGTGAGAAGTACTTTAAAATTTTGTTCACTTTGTTCACATGACCAATGATCGCAAATAATGAGCAGAGGGAGAACTGTTTTTTGTTCCCATCTATCTATATATAGTTATTTATTAGACAAAGAACAAAGTGTGTTTTTATAACCAAATTTTAAAGCCGGCATTAATAACATTTAAAATATAATTTTGATTTGAACAAATTGGTGGATTAACCAGTTAACAGAACAAAAAATTCTTTTAGTAAGTAGCAATTTTGTTAATTAAAAATATTGTAAGGTTTATGCCACATCTTACACTCAGTGTTGGCATGATAAATTTAGTAGGAACTGTAAGGTACTGTACATTTAATAAATAAGAACCACAGACAAGTAGCCATTATATTTTTTATCTTTAATATTGGTCAGTTAGGTACAGGAAAGTCCTTTGTGTCATACCCCATAGCTCAACATAGGAGAGTGTTACATAAAGACAAATACAGAGCCAGACTCAGGTAAACATGACCAATTTATACAAAAAAGGGAAAAGAAATAGTGATTAATTTGCCTTAATGTGAAGCTGTTGTTCTCACGTGTTATAAGGCATTTTAAATATACATGAACAAAAGAAAGAAATGCAGTCCAAAGTGGTTTAAAAATACTGAAAACCATTCGAAAAAGTCCACTTGTGTCTGGTTGCTTGGAATTTGTCTTTATGTGACAAGCCTCCATGTAATTAGCTCTGTTTGGACCACGATACCTAGCAACATTTTGAGGCAAGGCTGATGGGCAACCAGCAGTAATAATCAGGACTGATTTGAAAGAGAATGGCAGAAAACACATAAAAAAATAAAAATAAATACCTTGTTTCAACTGCCTCAAATGTGACCCAAGTATCACTGTCTTAAATTAAGGGTGTTCACACAACAACACATGGGAAGTCAGCATGCACACAGTAACACACATACAATATGAATGTCTTTATAGAATATGTATCTGTCATCACAGCTTGGTAAAATTACACTTATACACAACAAATGCACAATAACACCTGGAACCGTAATACCAGCCAGTGGAAAAAGGCCCAAATACATTTGAGTTGCCCTTGTCCGGTCAGAAAAACTTCCCCTGGTAGGTTGTGGCGGTGGTATCATCCAATAACAATAGCCTATAGATAAAGATTTCTGATCTCAAACAACTCATAAACACACACACATACAATCGTACACACGTACATTTTCTCTCAGACTTATTACATGTTAATAACATCATGAGAATCGCTGTTAATTCAGTGACTGAATGAATGACTGAATGTGAGATAGTTTTAACTACCTACGCGGCTACGTCGAGAGCAGTAAACCTTACAGAAGTACAAAACACTCCATATCATCCTCAGTTGGCAATTCTGTTGACATAGTTACATTAGGCTATATGTAATCATTGCTTGACAGCATATAAAAATAAAAGAAGTTGCTCTGGTGCATATTCATAATCATCTGCATGTGAGTTAAATAGTCTCTTTGCAAACAGAGGGAACTGTTTTCGGCACATTTATTTATTTATTTAGTTAGTGAGGCTGGCTCAGTTATTATATATTTGATTAGTATAAGGGTGTTGCCATATCTATAAACTATTATACTACCAGTAGCAGTTTCTTGTTTCTGTATTTTGTAGGCTAGCTTTTAGCAAGCCAGGCTAATGCATATTTGAAATCGCTTGATAAGGTAAAAAAACAAACAAAAAAACAACAACAGTCAAAAATAATTTATCAATTAGTCATTAATACCATATGAGACTCCCAGACCAGAAATCATAATAATGGATTCCTTGTTTACTTGACTGTTGTCCAGCAATGTAAATCCAGTAATATGTTGATCAGTTAACAACATATATGTATTTATTTGGATTTTAACAACAGGTTCATACTACCTATACCACCACAGAGTCTAAACTAATACAACAACCAAGGGCCAATCTTCTATAAGTAAACAGTTAAAATAGGGATAAAGGACAGGTTTTATCCAATGCAGTTTATCAGGAGTGTGATCACTAATCTGAGAACTCCAGTCTTAGTTAAAGATCTGCTGCTGGGCTGATGAGGTTTCAGTACCATGTAAGTTCAAAGTTAGAAGGAAAGTGAAGTTGCAAGCTAGGAGTTGGTTCGATTTTTTCAGCGTTTTAATCTGCTTAGTGACTGTTTCTACTAAAGTGAAGTGTTTTTACCTTTTGCTCAGCCTTACATTCTCTTAACAAATTCATTTTTAGACAGATGTGGGTGTAAGACGCTCTGCTACACCTGACATCATACTAACTACAAACGGTCCTTGATATCTCATTCCCAGTTTAAAACATGTCAGTCAACATCTTTCGCATGATGACGAGTGATCAAGGATAAAAGATTTTAATGCCATTTCAGCTGCAACCATTTCAGGAATCACCATCCTTGCATTTATTCAGTATGAGCTCGAGTCTCCAATCACTTCCTCAAATATCAGGTAATTGCAGAGAAAAACTGCTGAAAGTGAAACCTGTGAAATGGCCTACATCTGTAATTTGTAAATGTTGGCAGAAATCCACAGAAATGCCAACATCCCCTTTTAGCACAGTGTAGCAGACCTTAGAAATGCATGATTTCATCCAGGGCTGTGACAGCTCTGCTTTTATGGCCAAAGTCCTAGGAAAGATACAGTATCAGGGCAAGAAAGGGAAAATGGGCAAGAGGAAGAGAAACATAAAGAAAGAGCCGGACTGCGGTCCTGTCCTCTTGTAGATAAGAGGCAGCCTCACAGCCTCTGGGTAAAGTTTTCGGGAAATACTCCTTTAGTGCCATTTTCTTTGTTTTGCTGCCAGTCGTCTTGCTTTACTCCGATCAGCCAGCCTTCATCCTAAGCACACAAACATGCAAGCAATCAGATAACAGTGTCAGTGTTTCTGTGGCACAAAAGCACATGAGTACGCGTTTGAATTTTGAGTTTACCTGTTCTTCGGGGTTGTCAAAAGTCACTACTAGCACCACGTCACCGGCCTTCATCTCCAGTTCATCTGTGTCATTGGCAGCATAATCGTGCAT